CCCCCCCAATACAGGAAGACTACTGTCCCCATCCATCCCAGCCAGCATTCTTGGACTTGTGGTCCGCCCCACCCTCCAATACAGGAAGACTACTGTCCCCATCCATCCCAGCCGGGGGGCATTCTGGGATTTGTGGTCCCTCCACCCCCCCCAATACAGGAAGACTACTGTCCCCATCCATCCCAGCCAGCATTCTGGGACTTGTAGTCCCCCTCCCCATCTTCAAGAAACACTAACAATGGAGGGTCACCCATGATTTCTGCCCCCCCCACAGGACTATTGCTCCCATCGATCCCAGCCGGGGGGCATTCTGGGACTTGTGCTCTCCCCACCCCAATACAGGAAGACTACTGTCCCCATCCATCCCAACCAGGGGGCATGCTGGGACTTGTAGTCCCCCCACCCCCCCAATACAAGAAGACTACTGTCCCCATCGATCCCAGCCAGGGAGCATTCTGGGACTTGTAGTCTCCCCACCCCTCAATACAAGAAGACTATTGTCCCCATCCATCCCAGCCAGCATTCTGGGACTTGTAGTCCCCCTCCCCATCTTCAAGAAGAACTAACAATGGAGGGTCACCCGTGATTTCTGCCCCCCCCCAAGACTATTGCTCCCATCGATCCCAGCCAGGGGGATGCTGGGACTTATAGTCCCCCCTCCCCCTCCCCTTAAAGGGGCCGAGCTCGATCCAAAAGAAATCAGCAAAAAAAAGGAAGAAAAAAGGGGGGCTTGTTTCTTTCGCCTCCCCCTCTCCCCAAAGCGTGTTGTGTGTTGTGTAGTGTGTAGTTGTGTGTTGTGTTGTGTTGTGCAGCGAGCGTTACCGGATGAAGGTGGTCTTGCCGGTGGAGTACTGGCCGACCAGGAGCACCATGGGCTTGTTGTCGAAGTCGGCGTCCTCCAGGGCGGGCGAGTGGAACTCGTGGAACCTGTAGTGCTCCTCCAGCGGCAGCAGCTTGGCCCGGTAGAGCTTCCGCAGCCCCTCGCTCACCGTCTGGAAGACCTCGGGGTCCTTGCGCCGCCGCTCGTCGCCGCCCAGCCAGCTGAACATGGCGGAGGAGGAGAAGCAAGAAGGAGACTCAGCCGGGAAGAGGCGGCGGCGGCACTTTAAATGCCAGCCCTGCCGGCGGCCGACCCACCCCGGAAGCGGAAATGGAGGCCCCCTCCCGGATTTCCGCTCCGGAGGCATGAGGCGGAACGGACTCTCTAGGGAGGCGGGCGGAGGGGGGGACGGAGAAGGGGTGCGTTTCCGGTCGGGAGGGTGGTTTTCCGGTAAGGGAAGGACGCGCTAGGAAGCGACTCTACGGCGGGACTTTCTGCTTTCCCTTTTATGACTGGTGGACTTCAACTCCCAGAAATTCCTCGGCCTTTTCTCTAGGGAGGAAGGGGGCGGATTTCCGCTCCGGAGGAAAGAGGAGGAGAGCGCGACGGCCTCTCTAGGAGGAATGAACCCTCTAGGGAGGCGGAGGGGCGGAGAAGGGGTGGGTTTCCGGTTGCAAGGGATGGACTTCCGGTTGGGAAAGACGCGCTAGGAAGCGACTCTACGGCGGGACTTTCCCGCTTTCCCAAGGGGCCCTTTTATGACTGGTGGACTTCGACTCCCAGAAATCCTCAGCCTTCTCTCTAGGGAGGAAGGGGGCGGATTTCCGCTCCGGAGGAAAGAGGAG